AATCTATTTAAATACATGTAATATAGAAATATCTAGCATGGGTAAATCTTTTAACGTCAAAAGAACGTAGCGCATATCCAATGCATACAACGGTGCAAACACGTGACATTAAATAATAACAATAGTTATTTAGTAGCGGACCTATTTGTCGCTTCCTCCGTTCTTCCTCTCTCATCGCAGCTGTTTCTCTGCCATCTTCCATGGTCGGTGTAATCTTTGAGTTATTCAGGCTGATACGGAGCAGATCTTGAATGCACTTCCAAGCAAAAGATCTTCTCTGTGATGTTTTTTTCTACACGGGACAGATGATCGGGTTTCTGCGTGGAGTACAGCCCCCTCTCTCACTGGAAGAGGTTGGGCTGGAGTGGGCGGGCATTATTGTAGTCTCATAGAGATAACCTAGAAACGGAAGTATTTACCACAGAAATTCCAGATCATTTTACCCACGGGGGAGTTCATATAAAAATAACGTTTTAAGTTAAAGACCGTGTTCTTAATCGATGGTGCATGTTTCTTACTTAAAGGGATAGTCCAAAAATGAAAATGGCGTTATTTATTCACCCTTTACTTTCTCTATTTTGTTTCAGTTTTTTTTTTTTTTTTACAGTTTTATGTGTTTATAATATTATTTAACCTGATCTGTTAAGTTATTATCACTATTACTACCATTGTCCTTTTTGTGTAAGATTGGAATGTGTATGCCCAACAAACACACAACGTTGCCTCAACGTAGCGACCTTCCTACAACGTTGTACCAACATTGTAAAAAGGTTGAGGATTCTACGTTGTTGCTAAAGGTTGTCACAACGATGTCATAAGGTTGCCATTTAAACATCACGAGGGCCGCATACTTTAGGTTGTGCTTAGGTTGCATGGACAACCACTGTACAACATTTACTGGTCACAGCTGAATCAGTTTAAATTTCAACAAGCCGTCGTCTCATTCATCAACGACCGAGGAGACGTGAGTATTGCTTTATTTCTTCTTGCTAAATAAGATACGTAAATCGTGAATATTCAAACAAACCTACGATTTCGACAACAATCTGTTCCAACATTACACACACACAAAAGCCGTAATGAAGTTGTTACGAGCGAGTAACATTTCGGCATTCCGTTCACTGGAGATTTTATATGTAATGAAATTACAATAAATGTCTGAAATTTCAATAACTTGCTAGTCATATTCGTTTCCATCTGTCCTCTCTTGTTCACTGCCTATTTTGACTTGTGTCTGCTGTGGATCTCTGAAGCTGGATTATCTGTTGAATTTGTTTCTTCCTCTGACTGCTTTCTCCATACCAACAACTATGCCTGGTCTTCAGCTGCGCTCCCTGGTCTGCTGTATTCTCCAGTCCAGAGCTTCACTGCACAGTGTCTGAATTTTAATTTATATATATATATATATATATATATATATATATATATATATATATATATATATATATATACATTTTAATGATTTCTTGTTTACTTTTCTTGTTTGTTTACCCTTTAGTTTAATTATATATATATATATATATATAATCTAAACTTTATACTGTTTGTTTATAATTAGATTTGTACTGTATGTATTAAATGTTGTGAAATATATAATAAAAAGTTTGATTATATTCATTTGTGTGGCATTTTTACACTTTAAAGTTTACACATGCAGTTGTTAAATGAAATAGGAAAAATAAATGAACAATATTTAATATTAAGCAATACTGGAAAAGAATTGCTGCTTATCCTGTATTCTAGGCAGTATTGATAAACTGCCACAAAAAATATTAATACAAGTAGTAAGAACGCCGCCTCGCGGTTGCTGAATGTCGCACGACAACGTTGCTACAGCCTTCTCACGTCTTACATTTCTACGTTGTGACAATGTAGCGAGCACGTAAGCGGCAACGTTGCCTTTGAAAAAATACAACGTTGTGCAGACATCGCTACAACGTAAATGTGTTTGTTGGGTGTTTGTTATTGAAGTCAAAAAAAAAAAAACTTGTTACAAACTTATCAATTTTCACTTTCTGTAGAACACAAAAGAAGATATTTTGTAGAATGTTGGAAACCAGACTCTCATAGTAGTATTTTCCTATTATGGAAGTCCCTTTCACACATACAGGATTTCCGGGAAATTACCGTATATGTTTTTATATGTTTTCATCGAAGTTGTTCACAATACTGATCATCCACAGAGTTTGTAATGTAGTCAAATGTTTACAAATAAAAGCGCAGCCGTTTAAGGCTAATTTGTGGTGAATGATGTCAGAATTTACCGGTATTTTGGAATGGATGTGTGAACGGTCTTTTCTGGAAAAATTCCGTAACGTCCTCGCCTGTGTGAACAGCACTCCCAACAAACACACAACGTTGCCTCAACGTAGCGACCTTCCTACAACGTTGTACCAACATTGCAAAAAGGTTGAGGATTCTACGTTGTTGCTAAAGGTTGTCACAACGATGTCATAAGGTTGCCATTTAAACATCATCCCAACAAACACACAACGTTGCCTCAACGTAGCGACCTTCCTACAACGTTGTACCAACATTGCAAAAAGGTTGAGGATTCTACGTTGTTGCTAAAGGTTGTCACAACGATGTCATAAGGTTGCCATTTAAACATCATCCCAACAAACACACAACGTTGCCTCAACGTAGCGACCTTCCTACAACGTTGTACCAACCTTGCAAAAAGGCTGAGGATTCTACGTTGTTGCTAAACGTTGTCACAACGATGACATAAGGTTGCCATTTAAACATCACGAGGGCCGCATACTTTAGGTTGTGCTTGGGTGGCGTGGACGACCACTGTACAACATTTACTGGTCACAGCTGAATCAGTTTAAATTTCAACAAGCCGTCGTCTCATTCATCAACGACCGAGGAGACGTGAGTATTGTTTTATTTCTTCTTGCTAAATAAGATACGTAAATCGTGAATATTCAAACAAACCTACGATTTCGACAACAATCTGTTCCAACATTACACACACACAAAAGCCGTAATGAAGTTATTACGAGCGAGTAACATTTCAGCATTCCGTTCACGGACGGCAACAACATTAAAATCATTATGTTAAATCTTTCGATAAAACATTTCCTGATTATTTACCTACGCTTAGTCTTTAGTCAAATGGAAAATAATGTTTTTGAAGTTCAGTTTTTTCCATATCCATAGTGATCAGTCTGATACTTTATCACACGAGCCGATCCACTTTTTACAAAACACACAAAATAACTTTTAAATACAAAACATCTCTGTGCAGTTTGCGTCCCGTTAAAGGAACAGTTCACTCAAAAATGATATGTACTCACGAATTATTTGCCCTGTAAATAATAGCCTAAGTGATTCCAAACCTTTAAGTTTCTTTATTCTATTGAACACTAAAGACTGTAAGCATTTGCTTTCATAGTAGGAAAACACTATGGAATTAAATAGTTACAGTTTTCCAGCTTTATTTAATACATCTTTTTTATTGTTTAGCAGAAAAAAAGCTAAATAAGTTTGGATCAAATAAAGGATGAGGCTAAATGGCAGAATTGTCAGTTTTGGGTGAGCTATCCCTATAAGTTAAAGTATATAAGTTGATGTTCATATGCCTGATTAATATAGATATTAATAAAAAGGTCTGCTAGTCTAAATTTCTATTTTGATTTATCTTTTGATGTTTTATTTAAAACCCACTCTTTTCTTTGCTCAACAGGCTATTTTCACATGGAGGTAATCTTCTATTGATAATTTCTGGATTTTAAGTATGTGTAAGTTGCATAAAACTCTATTGTTTAACCACTCACTGTTGTTTTCAAATTACTTATGTAACTTGTCTTTCAGAATTTTTTCAGCTGTTGAATTCACCTCAGATCAGTGTTGCTGTAATTCCTGATCTATGGAAAGAATAATTGAATGAGGTAAGAAGTATACTACTCTATTTACTATCATAATAAATGTAGTATCGTTACCTAAAACAGCATGTTCATAATGTGGAAAATAGATCATGCTTATGAAAAATTACTTTATTATTTTGTACAGCTGTTATTGAAATGACACTAATTTTAACATTCCATTTACAGCGAGCAACGCCACAACTATAGGACCTCTTCTTTCTCTTCTCATAATTTAAGTAAGTATTGGGAGACTAACTCTGACTTTTGTTAACTCAAACCTGTTTTCCCTGTATCTCTAAATTCATTTAATTGTATGTAATTTTGGTATATGATATATTAAAGCAATAAAATAAAGTAGGCTACATAATTACTCACTGGAGATTTTATATGTAATGAAATTACAATAAATGTCTGAAACTTCAATAACTTGCTAGTCATAGTTGTTTCCATCTGTCCTCTCTTGTTCACTGCCTATTTTGACTTGTGTCTGCTGTGGATCTCTGAAGCTGGATTATCTGTTGGATTTGTTTCTTCCTCTGACTGCTTTCTCCATACCAACAACTACGACTGGTCTTCAGCTGCGCTCCCCGGTCTGCTGTATTCTCCAGTCCAGAGCTTCACTGCCCAGTGTCTGAATTTTAATTTATATATTTATTTATATGTATATTTACATTTTAATGATTTCTTGTTTGCTTTTCTTGTTTGTTTACCCTTTAGTTTAATTATATATATATATATATATATATATATATATATATATATATATATATATATATATATATATATATATATATATAATCTAAACATATACTCTAAACATATACTGTTTGCTTATAATTAGATGTGTACTGTATGTATTAAATGTTGTGAAATATATAATAAAAAGTTTGATTATATTCATTTGTGTGTTATTTTAAACACTTTAAAGTTTACACATGCAATTGTTAAATTAAATAGGAAAAATAAATGAACAATATTTCATATTAAGCAATACTGGAAAAGAATTGCTGCTTATCCTGTATTCTAGGCAGTATTGATAAACTGCCACAAAAAATATTAATACAAGTAGTAAGAACGCCGCCTCGCGGTTGCTGAATGTCGCACGACAACGTTGCTACAGCCTTCTCACGTCTTACATTTCTACGTTGTGACAATGTAGCGAGCACGTAAGCGGCAACGTTGCCTTTGAAAAAATACAACGTTGTGCAGACATCGCTACAACGTAACTGTGTTTGTTGGGATGAGGGTCGCATGCTTTAGGTTGTGCTTAGGTGGCGTGGACGACCACTGTACAACATTTACTGGTCACAGCTGAATCAGTTTAAATTTCAACAAGCCGTCGTCTCATTCATCAACGACCGAGGAGACGTGAGTATTGCTTTATTTCTTCTTGCTAAATAAGATACGTAAATCGTGAATATTCAAACAAACCTACGATTTCGACAACAATCTTTTCCAACATCACATGTTAAATCTCTCGATAAAACATTTTCTGATTATTTACCTACGCCTTGTCTTTAATCAAATGGACAATCATGTTTTTGAAGTTCAGTTTTTTCCATATCCATCGTGATCAGTTAGTATGATACTTCATCACACGAGCCGACTCACTTTTTACAAAACACACAAAATAACTTTTAAAAACAAAACACCTCTGTGCATTTTGCGTCCCGTTAAAGGAACAGTTCACTCAAAAATGATATGTACTCACGAATTATTTGCCCTGTAAATAATAAGTGATTCCAAACCTTTAAGTTTCTTTATTCTGTTGAACACTAAAGACTGTAAGCATTTGCTTTCATAGTAGGAAAACACTATGGAATTACAGTTACAGTTTTCCAGCTTTATTTAATATATCTTCTTTATTGTTTAGCAGAAAAAAAGCTAAATAAGTTTGCAACAAATAAAGGATGAGGCTAAAATGGCAGAATTGTCAGTTTTGGGTGAGCTATCCCTATAAGTTAAAGTATATAAATTAATGTTCATATGCCTAATTAATATAGATAGTAATTAAAAGGTCTGCTAGTCTAAATTTCTATTTTGATTGGTCTTTTGATGTTTTATTGAAAACCCACTCTTTTCTTTACTCAACAGGCTATTTTCACATGGAGGTAATCTTCTATTGATAATTTCTGGATTTTAATTATGCGTAAGTTGCATAAAACTCTATTGTTTAACCACTTACTGTTGTTTTCAAATTACTCATGTAACTTGTCTTTCAGAATGTTTTCAGCTGTTGAATTCACCTCAGATCAGTGTTGCTGTAATTCCCGATCTATGGAAAGAAGAATTGGATGAGGTAAGAAGTATACTACTCTATTTACTATTAAATGTAGTTATGTTACCTAAAACAGCATGTCCATAATGTGGAAAATAGATCATGCTTATGAAAAATTACTGTATTATTTTGTACAGCTGTTATTGAAATGACACTAAGTTTAACATTCCATTTACAGCGAGCAACGCCACAACTACAGGGCCTCTTCTTTCTCTTCTCATAATTTAAGTAAGTATTCGGAGACTAACTCTGACTTCTGTTAACTTAAACCTGTTTTCCCTGTAACTCAAAATTTATTTAATTGTATGTAATTTTGGGATATATTATGAAAACAATAAAATAAAGTATAGGCTACATAATTACTCTGGAGATTTTATATGTAATGAAATTACAATAAATGTCTGAAACTTCAATAACTTGCTAGTCATAGTCATTTCCTGTGTAGTGCTGTTGTGTCAAGCTCTGATCTGTCCTCTCTTGTTCACTACCTATTTTGACTTGTGTCTGCTGTGGATCTCTGAAGCTGGATTATCCGTTGAATTTGTTTCTTCCTCTGACTGCTTTCTCCATACCAACAACTACGACTGGTCTTCAGCTGCGCTCCCCGGTCTGCTGTATTCTCCAGTCCAGAGCTTCACTGCCCAGTGTTTGAATTTTAATTTATATATTTATTTATATATTTATTTACATTTTAATGATTTCTTGTTTACTTTTCTTGTTTGTTTACCCTTTAGTTTAATTATATATATATATATATATATATATATAATCTAAACTTTATTTTATACTGTTTGCTTATAATTAGATACTGTATGTGTACTGTATGTATTAAATGTTGTGAAATATATAATAAAAAGTTTGATTATATTCATTTGTGTGGCATTTTTACACTTTAAAGTTTACACATGCAATTGTTAAATTAAATAGGAAAAATAAATGAATAATATTTCATATTTAGCAATACTGGAAAAGAATTGCTGCTTATCCTGTATTCTAGGCAGTATTGATAAACTGCCACAAAAAATATTAATACAAGTAGTAAGAACGCCGCCTCGCGGTTGCTGAATGTCGCACGACAACGTTGCTACAGTCTTCTCACGTCTTACATTTCTACGTTGTGACAATGTAGCGAGCACGTAAGAGACAACGTTGCCTTTAAAAAAATACAACGTTGTGCAGACATCGCTACAACGTATATGTGTTTGTTGGGCTATGACTAGCCTACTAATTTACAATATTCCTCAGAAGATCCAAAAAAAGATGACTTTTTAAAGTTTGTCAGTCTTTAACTTTTTAAATTAAAAAAAAGATTTTGTTTTTAAATAAACACAGTGAAGAAAACCTGTTTGTGGTGTTTTTCCTGCTTAAACAAGAACACTATATAAAATATCAATAAACAGTAGCCTATAAGGTATTGCCATTGCAGATGGCTTGAGGCAACATGCATACTTCTGTTGTTGTTGTTGTTTATTCTTACTTTTTGATTATACCAGAGATGTCCAAACTAGGGCCCGTGGGCCAAAGTTGGCCCATTTGGCCCACCATCTGACAAGGGAAAACGATATGATTTAGAGATAGTCATTTCAAATCTAATGTAACCTTTTGTTTATTTTAACATTAACTAAAATTAAATGTTTCAAATAAATATTGTAAATGAATCAGTTTTAGTTCAAAATGTACACACTGTAACCAGATGAATAGAGGACAATGCAGAGACTTTGGTGAGAAGGCAAAGGCTGATTCTGCTTGGCAATAGTGTATTCAGCATTGAACTCCACTGTACACTGTTATGTTTTATTGCAATAAGTTATAATAAAAAATTATACCTCATTAAAGTAATAATTTTATTCATTTATTTTTTAAATATTAAGAATTAATTTATGCAATTACCCATGGCAAATTTAATGTAATATAATTTGGTATATCCGGGCCACCGCTCCTTATGATAATTGGTTTTTGACCCTTTATACGACAAAGTTTGGCCACCCGTGATAAATAATGCACGAAAACTACACTACCCATGATTCTACTAGGAGAACTCTCCACCAATCAGAGAGTCGATTAAACCACGCGGCGCCATGAATACGTTAGCGCCCTCTCCTGAAGTAGAAAGTCTCATGAAGGAGAGGTGAAAGCTGACATTCTATGCTCTTAAAAGTCTTATATAACGATGTTTATATTGCAACACACGTAAAATATGTAGTTTAATATATACATATTTTAACATCAAATCAATATACCCATCCCATCGTTTTTCACCAATCCATCGGCCAAAACAGTGGCTTGTTTTTACTGGGGTAAGGCCGTTTAAAATGTATTTGAATTCAGTGAAATAATGGATTATAGCTCGAATACTAGGTTCTCCGTGTTTGAAGTTATATATTTAAGAAATAAAACTATTTTCGAAGATAAAGTAATGATATACACTTCAGGAGATTTAATGTGGCTCAATGAACGACTTTCTGAGCCTCATAGCGCCCCCTAGGAGGAAACTAAGGTTGGAAAAAAAATGATAGTCTTTGCTGTATTTGAATCAAAAGTTACTATTGCCATCTAGTGCTGTGGAATGGTGTTGCATATAGTACCTCTATTCACGCCCTTGATGATCTCCTAACTCAGGGGTTTTCAAACTTTTTCAGCTGAGGGCCCCTTTGTGTAGGGCGAATTCTTTCGGGGACCCCCAAAAAATAAATATCACGCCACCCCCTCAAATTAACAACTGTACTTAATTTTTTTAAATTGTATTATTCAATACATTTATATTATTATATATTATTCAATAAATTTATATTATTCACTATCTGGATTAATTTTAGTAAGATGTTAGTTGAGTTGACATGGTTTCAGTGCTTCAATCTATTGATCAAATCTTCATGCCCAGTGTTCATTGTGGTCTGCTCTCACTGGATTCCATCAAGCCATATTTTGTGTTCGAGTCATCACGTTTACAGTTTTTTATGCCATTTTTATGCTTTTTTTTCTGCCTATGCACAGCTAGACTCTTCTGTATTTACCCTTACAGCTAAGAGTCTAAATGTATCCAAAGATTTAAAGCTTTAAAAGTTTTGTCATTCATCAGCCTGTTAACAGTTAACTGTACTGTTGTAACTAGCGATTCTACAATAGAGGCTGTAGTGGTTCAGTGTGTTTTGTTTATTTTTATTCCTTTTTTTTGTGCACATCATAATTTACTCAGGTCGACAATCCTGACTTACACTGATAAAAAATAATTTCCTAAATGCAATCTAGAATTGGGTATTCAAGTTCAAAAAGCCACAAATTTTACTTTGCTTAATTTTAGAAGCTTTGCTGACTTTAAAATGTCCATACCAGTGTGTTCTATTAATAATACTGAACATTACATTTAAATTTATTTACACAAATAAATATGGGGGAAAAGTGGAACATCTTGAAAAAAATGCATTTATATTCAGAGTATTAAAATTTGATCAGATATGTTGAGCTCTATTAAATACAGAGCACTCATACATTTTAATTTTTAATAATTAATTAGCCCTATAACATAACACAAATAGATACATTATAATTTTTATAGGCTATAGTGGTTTTATTCAGGGTGTATACAATTTAGTTTTTTTTTTTAATCATCCAGTTATGAACCAATGTGAGTAAGAGGTTCACTGCAGAGCTCATCCAGCTGTCATTAGTGTAACAGGAGTAAAACTGAGAACTCGCTGATGTGATGACAGCTCCATTCATTGTTATTGCAGCACTTTTTGCTTTACAATTTTAATATGTTTGTTTGCCATGCTGCAAAGAGGACCGTCTGATATTTGTACAATGCAAAGTGTAAAGCCTGTCGCACTTTGGACAAGGTGCAATGTTGTGCCGTGTCTTTAAAATGCTATTTGTTCCCCATGAGTGAAGCCTGCGCAAAGAGGCGCGCGCTCCGCAGCACCCAGCTGATCGATTACTCAGGAACGCAAGCCATATACAGGGAAGTGCTTCCAGCCTCCGAAAATGTTCTTATTGATCATGTATTTTAACTGAAATATTGTCAGTAAATAGACCTGAGCATTCATTTAGTTGTTTAGCGTAAAAGAGGTTAGCGTAAGTGAAAGGTAAACGCCGTCAGGTGCAGCAGACAAGCGCCAAAAATCACAGGAAGTGCCCGGCCAGAAGCGCTTATTCAATAAAAGTCCCCGTGCACAGAGGCGGGCCGCTGCGCTTCTTTTCCTGTTTCACGAAAGTGTCAACTGCATTTAAATGACATAAGCATAAAGCTTAATTTTTGCAGTACTTTTGAGCTCAAATTATTATAAAAAATATATTAACCTTCAGAATGATGCGGGACACAAAATTCAACCATGTGGGCCCATTGATTACCCCTTATCTAAAATTTTTTGCGGCCCCCCTAGCGCCATCTGGCGGCCCCCCAGGGGGCCGCGGCCCCCAGTTTGAAAACCCCTGTCCTAACTCATTGTTTAACAGACGCTTTAAGAAAGTGGACGTTAAAGGAAAAGTTTACACAGAAATTAATTAAATTCATTGTCATTATTTATGATAAAACAATGTATGTTCAGAACATCTATACTGGTGGCATTAAATTTGTGTCATTAGTAACAGAGCTTTGTAAAGTCTGACATGGGCTTTTCATTTACAGCAAACCACATTATAATGTTTTAATCCTTACAAATATTGTTGACCAACAGAAGTTAAGCGGGGAAATGTAGGCAATTGTTGCCAATATTCATTAGAATATTGATCAGTTCAAATCAGTTCTATAGAAACATTGAACAGTGATAAATAAAATATAAGAATAAATATCAACAATTAAAATTAATTTGAAACTAATAATTGACAATTATCAAACCTAAAAACGTTTGAAAATGCAGCAATTCTCATAATAACATTTAAGACCACATTGTGCTTTTGTAAGATATTTGTAGTAAAACAGAAAGAAAAAGAGTTTTAAAAAAGCAAATTAAATAAATCTTCAGTCTGTCAAAATTTGTACTTTTTTTCCTAGTGATCAATAATGTAATTGCCAATCATAAAAATATCATGTTTTATTTTTATTGCAAAGTGTGTGTTTGAAAGGGAGTGCTTCTAGTCTTTGCACTAATCCTTAATTAACATTTATTAATGGGTTTAAATTGTCATGGTTATCTCAAATAATTGTGATTAGATCAAATAACCATGCTTAGCTGATTAAGCATTTATTCAATGCGACATGCTTTGACTATTGATTAATCA